CTAGAGCAGCAGGTCCTATACCTGGGTCAGGCGGGACGCACAGGTGACCAGCACGGTAAGCACTAGTAGGTAATGCATACATGGCAGTGAGAATAGCATCATAGTCAAGAGCATATATATCGACCCTCTGCCTAAGCAACTCCACCCAGTCGGGAAGCTCAGCCTCGTCGCCAAACACGGTACGCCAGGCGTCGCTCAGACGGGCGAAGCAGCGGGACGGTGTATGACTACGTGTCCCACAAGGCTGACCAGTCCGAGTACCAGTGCGTATCACGTAAGAGCCGCGAACAGCACTGAGAGACCCTCCACTCTGAGCGTACCACTCACGAAGCTGGCGAGGCGTGAGAGACACGCGAGAGGGTCGCGGGGGCTGCATCTGGCCGCCACCACGAGTAGAAGCAGCAGGAGTGGTAGTAGGAGTAGCGCCGCCACCCCTACAGCCCCAACCAGCGTACCACTCACGCAGCTGCTGGGGCGTGAGGGACTCACGCAGGCGTCGCTAGGGCTGCATCTGGCTCCGCAAGTAGAAGCAGGAGCAGGACTAGCAGCAGGAAGGCAGGCAGCCAGGCAAGCCAAAAGGCAGGCAGGCAGGCAAGCAGGCGACGCGCAGCGTGCTAGCAGGGCAAGAGCTCACCAGTGGTGGGAAGAGTAGGCTCGGCGACTCAGCGGCTCGGCAGCTCGGCGGCTCGGCGGCTCGGGCGACTCGGGCGGCTCGGCGGCAGGGCGGCTCGGCAGCAACTACAGCTCAGCAGCTCAGCGACCCGGCGGCTCGGCGGCAGGGCGGCTCGGCTGCTGGGCGGCTCAGGTGCTGGGCGGCTCGGCGGTGGGGCGGCTCGGCTGCTGCAGGTGAGCGGCTCGGCTGCTGCAGTGGGAGATGAAGGAGGAGGAGAAGCAGGGGAGGCCACACACCTGACACCCCTCTGCTGGCCTCTCAGGTCGCCTCCGCAAGCGGCCCCCTCAGGTCGCCTCGACAGGCGACAGGAAAAGGGGGGGGGGTGGTGGGGGCCGGTAGGTGCAGCGGCGGGGCCAGCAGGTGCAGTTGCGGGGCCGGTAGAAGGGGACGGCAGGAGCCGTCAGGAGGGGACGGCGGGGCCGTCAGGAAGGGACGGCGGGGCCGTCACGAAGGGACGGCGGGGCCGTCAGGAGGCGACCGGGCCGCGAAGGGGCGGCTGGGCCGGGATGGGGCGGGGCCGCGACGGAGGCAGGCGGCGGGGCCGCGTAAGGGCCTGGGCGGGGCCGCGACAGAGCTGTCAGCGGGGCCGCGTGAAAGCCGGGGCTGGGCCGCGTAGAAGCCGGGGCGGGGCCGCGCGAGAGCAGGCGGCGGGGCCGCGAAGGAGCCGGGGCGGGGCCGCGTGAGAGCAGGCGGCGGGGCCGAGTAAGGGCCTGGGCGGGGCCGCGACAAAGCTGTCGGCGGGGCCGCGTGAAAGTCGGGGCGGGGCCGCGTAGAAGCCGGGGCGGGGACGCGCGAGAGCAGGCGGCGGGGCCGCGAAGGAGCCGGGGCGGGGCCGCGTGAGAGCAGGCGGCGGGGCCGCGTAAAGGCCGGGGCGGGGCCGCGACAGAGCCGGCGGCGGGGCCGCGTGAAAGCCGGCGACGGGGCCGCGTAAGGGCCGGCGGCGGGGCCGCGTCAGTGAAGGCGGCGGGGCCGCAGGGGAAATGGCGACCCGAGGGGTCGCTAAAAAAATCGCGCCTCGGGGGGCGCTTCGGTGGGCCCAAAAAAAACGGTCCTTAGAAGGACCCGCTCTATACCATGTGATAATAAGCAAACAGGAATGAAATGACTAAGTCAGGGTTGGGTACAAATACAACCCTAGAAAGTTGTACCCCATATGTGCTACCCCACTATAGCCTACAAACATGCATCAGCTATAGTAATCTGACAGGAACTTGCAATGTGCGCAGTAAAACGAATAACGGGAATGGTTGACTGCTGAATTGTTGAATGAAAGTAGGGAGGCCTAAATAAGAGGAAAATCTAGCTAGGCGAGGAGGTGGGGAAAGGTTGACTCGCAAAGGGTTGCGATTGGTGCGGAGGCGGCTCGGTGAGGTTTGGATGCGAAATTGTCGGCGGAACCAGTTTGTCGCGTGCCCCCAGGATGGCCTCGCTAATGAGTGCCTCAATAAGGATTTGTAAATCCTTACACTCTTCCACCTCCTAAATAAGGCAGCTTTGTACTGAAAACAGGCCCCACACTAGCAAGGATATCGTAGATCTCCTCTTCAGCTGAATCCGATGGCTGAAATTACTTTCACAATGTTTTTTTGAGAGGGAATCTGCTGGCGCGAAATTCAATCTTGATGTAGCAGAAAGCGTTGATCGTATCGGTGTAATCGCGATCGTCCGTCGTGCTGACACGTCCTGACAAAGTCAAGAAGAAACTCGAGAAAACGCCAAGGAAAGAAATAGTGCAAAGCACTTTCTCCCCCACTCCAAGAAAACAAACCAGAAAATGTTTCACAGCTGCGCCGAGATGAAAATCCAGGTGTTAAGTCACACGTAGAAGCATTAAGCGTAGGTGCATAGGTGAAATGTCGTCGGTGTGGAAATATCGATGACGAAACCAGGTATTACGTGCCCCAAAAATCTGCGAGGGCGAGCCAGAAGGCGTAGCCTGGAAACCGAAACTCAAATAATCGAATACTCGAGCTGAACCTTTTTTCTCTTCGCGTCGCCAGAATCAGCCGATATCTTCAGCAGTTGCAGCTGGCAGCACCTGACGTGGTTGGGAATTAGAGCGTGTCCAAAGTGAAGCGTCGAATGGGTGCGCTGGATGTCGGTAATTTTCTACCCTTGGATGTAGAGTTCCAACCGTCAGGATTTACCGGCATCGGATGTCAACGGATGTCGCGCTCTCTTCGGACCCGCTCTTACGACGTGTTGCAATCCGACAAGGTTGGGTTGGGTTGGGTTGACCTGGTCGACCTGACCATCGCGGCTCGGGGCCTCAAAGAATTTCTGAGAAATTTTGGCACACCATCTAAGCAGGCTAGGCGAGCTCTCACGAGAGTCAGAAACTCGCTGAACTGACGGTTACTCCAAAACTAGCCTCGCTGGATGTTATGAATGAACTTGCAGAGTGCGTAGTAAAACAAATAACGAGAATGAATGATTACTGAATGACGATACAATGGAAGTGACGAGGCCTAAATAGGGGAAGTCCTAGCTAGGTGGGGTGGCTGGGCGAGGATGGCTCGGTGATGGTTGCGATTGGTGCGGAGGCGACTTGGGAATGGTTCGGTGCGACGAAATAGGAAGGATAGGTTCGTCGCGTGACCCTCGGGATGGCCTCGCTAACGAGTGCCTCAGTAAGGATTCTGTAAATCCTTGCACTGGATTTCCAATTCGTAAACGAGCATGCAGATTAGTTACCCAATTTACTAAGTTGTAACTACGCTACAGTATGCTTTTTGGCTAATGTCTTTGTACAGTGTGTGATTGCGACAGATCACTGATCGCGGGAGATCTGTCAAATCTCAGTAGCGATCGTTACAATGTCGCGATCGCCACGTTTCGCCAATCGATCTGCCCAACTGATTGCGGGGATCGATATGTGCAGACGATCCCACGATATTTGCACTTTTACCGCGTCCTAATACGACCTTATAGCGAGATTTTGAAATTCGCTAGCTCAGGTAACTCGTCGCAATCTGGCTGAGTTGGTCAGGTTTACCTGGTTGGCCCGACCAGGTCGACCCAGATCGGGCAGACCCAACCCAACGTGGTTGGGTCGAGCTGGTTGGCTAGATCCGCAAAGCAGCCTTCCTCGAAAAGAGAAACCCGACCTGGTCAACCCGACCTCATGGCGAGGCGTTTAACATTTCGCGTACATCGCCAAGGTCGCCGATCACATGCAATCAAGTGATTGGGGCTGATTGTGTCTGATCGGGTCTGATCAAGCTGTTTGAGGCGGTTGATTTGTCAGAATGTTATAATTGTCTAGCCTGCAGCGGGGTACTCGATAGCGAGTACAACCCAATTAGGGTTTCCTGTATGTATGCCAACTGCTGCTAGTGAAACCCCTCTCTTCTTCATTCCTCATTTCTTCATATGATTTAGTTGGCGCGATTAGCTGATCGCGATAAGCTGATTACCCCCGATCGCCTAAAATCTGCTTCCCGCTTTCCTCGAAGTTTTCGATCGCCTCTGATCGCGCCGATCAAAGTCGATTGGGCCCACGTCCTTGTTAAAGTTAGAAGAGAGAAGAGGACTGCACTAGCAAGAATGGGGATACAAATAGGAAACCCTAGAAGGGTTGTACTCGCTATAGAGCACCCCACTACAGGCTAGAGCATAAGATAACATTCTGACAGTCCTAACCAGCACAGGGTAGGCTCGTGTTCACCCCCGTTATTCGGCCAAGTAAGTTGACTGCATGAGTGAGAACTAGAAACTTGGTGGGGATGGTGAGGTTCGGCCGACGGAAGGTCACAGATCATTCACACCGGCTTTTAACCTGCCCTTCACGCCGTTCTTCAACCCCCGCTTAGCCGTCGGGCAGTTGTGAAAATCACGAAGAATGATTGACTAAGGAATGAGTGTGATACAAATATGAAACCCTAGAATTGTGTACCCCTTAGTATCTAACCCGCTACAGCCTACACAGGCTAGATCATATAAGTCTGACACACCCTCATAGGGTAAGTGGGGGAGAACAAGGGGTCACAAGACCAGTCAAGCAAAGCAAGGCAAAGCAAACTCAGGGTGGATCACAACGTCACCACACATTCCAAGCACAAGTTCAAGGCAGCAAGGCCAGTTCACATGCAAGATCATATATAAAGGTAAACAAGCAAGTGCATGTATAGATAGATCACAGTACAAGCAAGGTCAAGAAGTGAGCAAGTGAGGCCAAGTAGGCACAAGACCTAGCATCGTACAAAAGCGCTGATGATCACAAGGCGGAAGTGCCTTGGTAAAGATATCAGCAGTGTTGGCCTGAGAGGCCACGTAAGCAAGGCCCAGCTGACCACGCTGCAGCAAATACCTGACCCGACGCAGCTACCTAACTAGACTCAGCAACCGGTGAAGACTCAAAAGTCAGTGTGTACAGGCTCGACCCCGGCTGACGGGTAAACGTGGCCAAGTGTCGGCCCATCCGAGCACAGGTACAGTGGGTAACCCGCTGACTCGCAGGAGTGAACGGGTCAACCCCCTGATCTTGAAGATCAGCACCACTCACCAAGTTTATAGAGAACGAGGGGAGGCAGAGACCTGACAGGGTGCCAGAGGGGGCCGCCGGACATGATAAGACAGTGGAGAAGTGGGCAAGGACAAAACCCCCAGAGGGGTCCGCCAGGGAGACCGCAATTGGCCGACTAAGCGGCGTAAGCGTGGTGCGGTCTCGAAAGAAGGAGCGGGAAGCACCCGAGTCAAGGGTGAAGGTGTGTAAGGCCTGAGCCGACGTGGTACCTGAGAGAGCAGACCCACCAGCACCTGGGGCAGCAGACGCACTAGCACCTAGAGCAGCAGCCTCACCAGTACCTAGAGCAGCAGCCTCAATGCCTGGGTCAGGCGGAACACACAGGTAACAGTCACCCTCATCACTAGTAGACACAACATACATGGCAGCAAGAATAGCATCATAATCCAGATCAAAGACAGCAACCCCCGACCTAAGCAGCTCGCCCCAGCGGGGGATCTCAGTGGCATCTGGGAATTGGTGACGCGAAGCGTCCGTCAGGCGGCCGAAGCAGCGCTGGGTGGTGTGCGGGCCACCGGACGGCTCGCCAGTGCGGTCGCCGGTACGCAGGACGTAGGCACAGGGACCAGCACCCCCACCCCGCTGACGCGCAGCGTACCACTCACAAAGCTGCTAGGGGGGCGGGGTCTCACGAGTGCGCTGCTGCTACTGGCGCTAACCACCACCGACGTCGCCCAACTGCGCAGAGCCACCCCGACCTGCTCCACCGCCGCCGCCGCCACCTCCACCGCCGCCGCCACCGCCTCCTCCTCCGCTCCCACCGCCACCGCCGCCGCCGCCTCCGCCTCCGCCGCCGCCACCGAAGCCCCCACCCCCGCCACCACTCCCACCGCCACCCCCACTCCCTCCTCCGCCTCCACCGCCACCTCCACCGCCCCCGCCAGCTCCTCCAGCGCCCTTGCCCCCCTTGCCCTTGCTGGTGCGGCGTCTCCCGCTAGGGGCAGACGCAGCGCCGACCGACTCGGTGCCAGCGAAGTCGACGGCAGCAGCAGAGGCAACAGAGGGCAAAAGGGGGGAGGGGGAGCACCCCTCAAAGAAGGGGGAATGCGGGTCACCACGAGAGGCTCTTACAGCGACTATACTCTTCTCAGCTGCCAGGAGGCGCTCCTCGAGGAGGTCAACGATGAGTGTTGTGGGTCAAACAGGGAGGAAGTGGTCCCTTACAGAGCGAAGGGAGTCAGGGAGCCGGGTGACTAGGTAGTAGAGGGTGATGTACATGGTAGAAAAGGGGCTTGGCACAAAACTCAGCAGGAAGCGCAGCGCGGTAGCGGGCGTCACTAGTGCAAAGGTGCGTAATGAGGTCAGCGACTGTGGGAAAGGCGGCGAGGTCAGGGAACAGGTACGGCAGCATGAGGCGGCTAAGGGCAGCAGTGGCAGGGGAAGAGTAGCGTGCAACTACAGCGTCGTACAAGGTCTTAGCACTCTTGTACTGACTAAAGTGTGCGCGCTCAGAGGTCGGCAAGTGACTACGCACAGCAAGACGGGCAGCAGCATTGCGTGTGGCCCAATGTGAGCGAACAGTGCTGTCAGCATCGGCAGCAGGGGCAGTAGAGGCGCCACACGTGAGATCGAACAGGGAGAGACCGTCTTTTCTATCGCACTATAGGAAAAGCAGCAGATTATCGACCCAGACCTCAAAGTCGACAGCCTGACCCTCAGCATCAATGACGAAAACATTAGGGGTAGCCATGAAAGCAGTAGCAGCAAGCTAGGGGCAGTAGCAGTCGCAGAGGCGTGGCTCGGCGGTGCTCTTACCAAGGCGGGTGGGTAGAGTGCCGCAAGTGGCGGGGCAGGGCCGAGGCGCGCCGGCACGTACAGGGCGGCGATAGCTGCAGCTACTCCTGCTGTTGGCGGCGGCGGCGGCTGCTGCGGCCTCGTTAGCAGCGGGGGGCGGCTGTCACGGCAGCGGCAGCGACGGCTGCTCCGGGCGGTGGTTGAGGCGGCCGCGGCTCCGGCAGCGGCGGCGGCGGCGGCTGCTGCTGTCAGCGGCAGCGGCGGCGGCGGCTACTGCTGTCACTACAGCTGTGAGGATCTGGGATCGAGCTCAGAAAAGATGATTCAAATTGAATTGAATCGAATCGAATTGAATGTATTCACCTGGGTACAACACGAGGCTACATATAGGCTCGACACAAGGCCCCGTAACCAGGTGTTACGCGAAGGTTCCGCGGGCCGCGTAGCGTCCCGAACAGATCCTTACCGAATTCGGTAGAAGGCAATTCGGTGGCAACCGAAAAGCCAGAATTCGGTGCACGCAACCTAGCTCGGTGCTATAACTATAATAAAATATAGGAAAGCACCTAGCCTAGGAAATCAAGCAATTCATGCATGCATATGATTATCCTATGCTAGAAATAGCATGATAAAGTAAAGGCAAGCAAGCATAGCTGGCATAAGCCGTCGTACTCTCACAGCAGCGGCGGCAACGAGGCCATGAAGGGCGGCGACGAGGCCGTGAAGGGGCCGGGAAGGGCAGCGACGGGGCCGAGAAGGGGCCGCGCAGGGGCCGCGAAGGGTGGTGACGAGGCCGTAAAGGGGCCGCAAGGGGCCGCGAAGGGGCCGCGAGGGGCCGCAAGGGGCCGCGAAGGGCCGTGAGAGGGGCCACGAAGGGCGGCGGAGGGGCCGTGAGGGAGCCGCGAAGGGGCCGCAAAGGGCCGTGGGAGGGGCCGCGAGGAGCCGTAAGAGGGCGCGACGGGCCGCTAAGGGCAGGGGATGCGAGAGGAGGGTAGGTACATGCGGTGCGACTCGGGTAGGAGCGAAGCGCGTTCCGGGCAGGAAAAAAAAAATCGATTTTCAGTGTTGGGCCCTAGGAGACCTTCCCACTAGGGAACCTGCTCTATACCATGTGAAAATCACGAGGAATGATTGACTAAGGAATGAGTGTGATAGAAATATGAAACCCTAGGATTGTGTACCCCTTAGTATCTAAACCGCTACAGCCTACACAGGCTAGATCATATAAGTCTGACACCAGTTTCTTCCCGTGTGTCCCGGCGGCCTGTACCGACTCCTTCGTAAATGTCGGAGCAGTACGTTGAACTCCGTTTAATGGTGGGCCATTCGCAGCTGTCCCCGTAAACGGCTTCCCTGGTAGGAGAAACCGCTCTTGAAACTACCGGCCAGCTTGCAACAACTCCAGGCACGCAACGTCTTACGAGTCGTTTTCCGAGGTTACCGGCCCCGGTTTCCCTCGCCACCTGCGCCCCACTTCTTCTAAGTGCAATATGGCCACTCCGCTTTTCGTTGCAGCCCGTAAGTGATGGCGGGTCTGAAAATCCCGTCTGTCCACGTGCACTTTTGCTGAAATTCGATGACGCGCCCGCCATGCAGTAAAAGCCGCTGCACTTCAAGTCGGGCGGGACGACAGTTGACCCCGCATAATTCAGACAATTCGTGTGTCGTCTCTCCTCGTCCACCGACATTTTCGGACGCAAACTCCATTTGCGCCTGGCGAGTTCCCCAGCCGACTTTTTCTTCAACAAATCCTCCAAAAATGTCGCCCTTGCTGACGCAAGCCCTTGGTCACCAGCTGCTGAAGATCTTCCCGAAATCTTCGCGTAACTGTTGACGCAGGTGTGCCGACGTCAACAACCATACACAGTGACGACGTTGAGGCTGTTCATGCAGGTGCCGACGCAAGACCGCTGACGCTAGCCGCCACACGAATCAACCTCCGAAATCGTCGGAAATCGCAGCGGAAATTACTCACTTTAATGTCGCGACAGCTACAGCTGTCATTTGCCCGAGGGGAGGGAGGCCACGGTCGATCGCGACCATCGAAGGCAAGGATCTGACGTTACCAAGGAGTGCCCCGTAAAAACATAGCCGCGAGGAGCAACTAACTCATTCTCCTGGCCAGCCTACGCAACTCCTGGACCCAAAGGCATCCTTCCTCGTCCCCCCCCAGGGGTATTACACTCTAAAAAGCGGGGTAGGCTAGGAAAGTAGCTCTGATACCATGTGTTATAAATGAACTTGCAGAGTGCGCAGAAAAACGAATAACGAGAATGACTGATTACTGAATGACAATACAATGGAAGTGACGAGGCCTAGATAGGGGAAGTCCTAGCTAGGCGGGAAGGTTGGGCGAGGATGGCTCGGTAATGGTTGCGATTGGTGCAGAGGCGACTGTTGGAATCACTGAACAGGAATGGATGGACTAGCAGTGAAATGAGTACAAGTACCTAACCCTAGAATTGTGTACCCCCTATAGGCTAACCCACTGTAGCCTAAACTAACACAACATATATAATGTTTGACACACCCCCATAGGCAAAGTGGGGGAGAACTAGGGGTCACAAGACCAGTCAAGGCAAAGCAAGGAAAAACAAGCTCAGGGTGGATCTCAAGGATACCACACAAATTCCGAGCACAAGCAAGTGGTCACAAGACCAGTTCACATGCAGGTTTATAATAGAGCAAAAGGTACAATGATCACAACCTAACAAGAGTAAACATGCAGGTATATATATAGAGATGGCAGCACAAACAGACTCAAGAAGTAAGCAAGTGAGGTCCAGTAGGCACAAGGCCTAGAGGAGTGCAAAAGCGCTGATGGTCACAAGGCTGAAGCGCCTTGGTGAACACATCAGCAATGTTGGCCTCAGAGGCCACGTAACGCAGACAAAGCTGACCACGCTGCTGCAGCTCTCGAGCAAGGAAGTAACGCAGAGCAATGTGCTTCGTTCTGTGCTCCAGTCTGTGCTCCTCACACAAGGCAATGGCTGCCTTGTTGTCGACGTAGAGCACTGGAGGAGAACGAGGCAACTCTCCAAGGTCGGTCATCAAGTAGGTGAGCCAGCGTAGCTCATGGGCCGCCATGGCTGTGGCGTAGATCTCAGCCTCACAACTGGAGCTGAGAACAGAAGAAGAGCGAGTAGAACGCCAAGAAACAGAACCAGAGCCAAGACTGAAGGAGTAACCCTGAGACGACCGCTGAGTAGCCTGGTCGTCTGCCCAAGAAGCGTCTGAGTGCCCAGTGAAAACAACTGGGACTCGCCCTCCAAGCACTAGCCCCATGCCCGACGTACTGCACAAGTAGCGCAACACCCTCTTAGCTGCATCCATGTGCTCCTTTCGGTGACGGCCGGGAGCGACATAGCGTGCAAGAATGCTGAGAGGGTATGCAAGGTCTGGTTGAGTGCAGGTCATCAGGTACATGAGGCAACCCACAAGCTCTGGATACGGGCCACTCGGCTCTACGGACTCATCCGAAGGCAAAGCTGAGAGCGAGTGACCGGTAGGCAGAGGAGTGGGCTGAGGCGAGGAGTACGTGAAGCGGAAGCGCTGAAGGACCTGCTGCACCATGTGTGACTGAGTCAAGGTGATGGTGCGGCGTGCTCTGTCCCGGGTGATCCGCAAGCCGAGATAGCTTGTCAGTTCACCCAGGTCTGTGCACGTGTGTCTCTTCTGCAGCTCCGACTTCACGTGGGCGAGTGCCACAGTGTCAGCAGTAGCAAAGACCAAGTCGTCGACGTACACAAGGACGTAGAACGGCGGCAGTGAGGTGTCGGTGCGTAGAAACAGCGACAGGTCAGCAGTAGAAGGCGCGAACCCAAGAGCCGCAAGCGTAGTCCTCAGTGTGTCGTGCCACTCACGAGGCGCCTAGCGGAGACCGTAGACTGGCCGTCGGAGGCTCCACTGGGTACCAGGAGGGAACGACCCATTGAAGCCAGGTGGACGGCGCGGCCAGATCTCCTCGTGCAGGCTGCCCTGCAGGAAAGCAGTGCTGAAGTCAAGCGAGTGGAGCTCGTAGTCACGCTGAGCGGCGACGTGCGGCAGAACCCGAAGAGTGGTCATCTTCGTGGTCGGGGAGAAGGTCTGGAAGAAGTCAACTCCCTCTCGCGGACTGAAGCCTCGTGCAACGTAACTCGCCTTGAAGACAGGCGGAGAGCCCGGCGGCCGCTTCACCCTGAAAATCCACATGCCACTGACGATGTTCGCCCCAGGTGGGGGAACCTCGTCGACGTAGGTGCCTGTGGACTTCCAGGAAGCCATTTCTGTGTCCATGGTTGAATGCCACTGAGAGGAGTAGGGACCGGCCATCGCCTCTGCGTAAGAGCGTGGGGTCGGGATGTCTGGTGCATCCGGGTCTCCCTCAGGGGCAACAAGCATGGACACGAGATGGGGAAAAGCGGCAGCAAAGCACTCAAACTCCTCCTGCCTGTCCTCAAGGACGTCAGTGCCATGAGCACACTCACCCCCGACGGACGGAGGACGGACAGACTCAGACTCAGCAACTAGGCTAGCAGCGTAGTCTAGACGACAGCGAGCAGCAAAGTCGACAAGCTCAGCAACTAAGGCAGACGCAACAGCAGACTCAAAGGAAGGGTCAGTGACAACAGTAGCCAG